TAATATCTTCATATATATATATATATATATATATATATATGGATTTTTCTAGGGTTAACAACCCCTTAAAATACAATGGTTCACGTTAGAAGGGGTTGTGATTGGCATATTTATCAAAACAATCATTACTTTTTCTTTAAAAAAATTATTTAAATAGGTAATTTTACCATCTAGCAAGGGTAAATTTGAAATTTTTTACAAAAGTACAATAGCATTTTAGAAGTTAGTGTCCTGAAACTTTATTTGTATAGTGCCCTTGTTCTTTAGTTAAACTTTCAACTTTACCCTTACAGAGATGACAAAAGTAGCCTTTTGTCTTGTAGTAATATTTACAAAATTGCCCCACAAAAGTATCTTTTTTTAAAAAATAGACTACAAAATTAATAAATCCGCCTTTCACAACTCACTCTATATTGAACCTTTGTAATTTGAAGGGTTGTGAAGTTTAGATTATCCCTATATACCACAGACTTGCTATGTCTGTGGCGGTATTTCAAACGGAACCACAACGAACAGGGCGCCATCTATTGCGGTTCCGCGTGCTTTTTTGACCGCCACGGACTTGCTAGGTATGTGGCGGTCGAAAACTCCACGCCGTCCAAAAAAAATGGACAGCGATGCCCCTATGGCCAAAAATACTATTTATTTTCGTCCATAGGCGCTGTGTAGTCTCTTTCATATATATATATATATAGCCCACTAGCTCATATGAACATATGTGTTCATATGAACCCAACGGCCCAGAATGAATCTGGGCTGATCTGACGGTCACAGCCTCATTTCTAATTTTAATTTTAATTTTTTTTCTACGAATCCAAATAATTTGAAATTTTAAGCATGTATTCTTCAAAAATAGGAGAATCTAATAAAAATATCAAAAAAAAATTTTTTGCAAGAAATAAATTGACCAAAATACCCCTAAAAAGTTTCAGGGGTATTTTGGTCAATTTAATGTTTGCGAACTATTTTTGAAATATTTTTATTAGGAGCACCTTGATGAGAAGAATGGACGCCTTAAATTTCAAGATATTTGGATTCGTAGAAACAAAATTAAAATTCAAGTACCAAGAGGTCGTGATCGTCAGATGGCCCAGATTCAATCTGAGCCGTTGGGCTCATATGAGCTAGTGGGCTAATCTCAGCATTTTTCTATATATATATATATATATATATATAGACACACACACATACACACATTTTTGGGTTGGGCTACGACAGGTCAGGGTGGCCTAGCCCTGATCCAAAAGTTTCCTGATTCTGTCTCTCCCTTGCCCTTTTGGTCTTATAAATGGTACATAGAGACACGCATTCTTTGGGCTGTGGGCTCTAAGGTTAGGCTGGCCTAGGCCCGGTCAAAAAAATTTTGATGCCCCCCCCCCCACCCCACCCACCCACCCTTCTTTCCCTGGCCTTTTGGGATTATAAATGGATTCCAATCTTACTAATGAAATTTCTGCACTCCTCTAGCAGCACTTCACAGGAAGTCCCTCATGACCCAACTTGTTCATAATGGGAGCTGACATCCTAAAGATTGACATTTGGAATACCAGAATATTTGGATAAGGTACATTTAATAGGGTGGTACATTCCATGCAACCAGCATGCATTCAAACCTCTCCGTTGAGGTTTCCGAGGCTTATCTAGGCACAAAGGGAGGCCCAGATATTTCTTTGAATGTATACCCATGTTACAACCTATCCTTTTGCCTAGTTCTTGAACTTTGATTAGGGGCAAACCAACCCTAATGAGTTTGGTTTTGGCCAGGTTAAACTTTTAGGCCACTGCAAGCTTGAAGCACGTAATGAAAGGCAAAAGGTTTTCCACTTGCTGAGAATTTGCATCACATAAGATGGGGATGTCATCTGCGTATTAAAGTTTGCCTCACTCAAAGATATGAAGTCTTGAACCAGTTTGGGGTGTACAGTTTGCTAATAGATCTACTGAGAATCTTGGGCACTGTTTTTAGACTCGAACATGGAGACTTGAACTCGGACGAGTCACTCGACCTCGGCCGATTGGCGAAGCCGAGTACTATGTACCGATTATTATATATATTACATATCCACAATAACTACCACATGGTGTATAACTTGCTTTTTGGCTATCACGCATGCCTCAGCAGTCTCCCATCCATGATTCAAATCCCACCAGCAATGATTCCTATTTTTTTACTAAAAAATACATGTTCCTTATTTTATCTTAAAAATAAAAAAAGAAGCCTTGGGGTTCACAAAATAATGTACAATGGGTCAGCAGCAGGATTTGATACCTAGACCGATTGGCGAGGGGCCATAAGCACTTACCAGTACGCTACATGAGTGCCAGTCATAAAAATAAGTATCTTATTATATATACCTTAATTTATTTTGTTATTCCTTTTTTTAACATGACATGAACTCGGCCGAATAACTCGCATCCACCAGGGTCCAAGTACCTTGGCCGAGCTGACTTTCTAAACAAATATCTTGGGTATAATAATAACGAGGAAGGAGGACAAGGGGTCTCCTTGGTGTGGGCCCTTAACCAATGGTCATGCTCAAGACTTTACTCCTCCTTTGGTAGTTTGTTGTCTTGTAGAGGAAAGCAACATTACATTCACCCTCTTTGAGCCACTTGATTCTAGAGTGTTGGTATCATAAGATCTTCTATTGCTTGATAATGTTTAGGAATTCAGTTTTGACCTTTATTCTTCGTGTTTTTTCACTAATTATAAATCTTTAGTCTGTTTAATTGGATCAAGATTGTCGATTTCATTATGCAAGGCTCTCTTCTCAAAGTGGTTAATCAAACTGCTCACGTTTTCCTTGTTTCAGCTTTATTTCTTCAGGAATTGTACGTTTTTTGGAGAGCCCCAATTCAGCTCATCTCTGGACCTAAAAACATGACCACCACTGGATCAACAGCCAGATTAAATTTTTGAGCGCTCTAACACCTCTCCCTCTGTCTTCAGAATCTTAGAAGATACTAAGAGCCTGACGAATTTCTTCAACAAGCCCTTCATAAATAAAGCACATGACTTGGAGCATATGGTCAGTGATTCCCTCTGCTCCAGCGACCCTTTCAATTTCCTCTGAATCCATAGAGAAGAAGAAAAGACTCTGAATCCAAAGATATTAGTTCTCTTGGAACGTTTTTCATGTTGCTATGGTTCCAGGGTCAAGAGTACAGGGGTAAATGGGATAATTTCATTTGATTGCGATTTAGGATGGGTTGAGGAGGATGAGAGGAGAATAGATGGACTTTGCGGTGAATGTGATGTTTGTGGTATGGTTTTTG